ACGCATACAGAAAAATATCAATCTACTGCTAAGAAACGTGATTATTCAATTTAGTTTCCTTCTCTTAAATAATTACTTTTAACACAGAATATTTTTTTGGTAATAATTTTAAAATACACTTATTAGAAAATTTTAGAAAAACTTATTAGTATGTAGTCAAGAATTTTTTCTTTTAAAAAATATTATAAAATTAATCGAAGAAATGAACTTTTCCTAATGAGCACATCCAATTTGTTTTAATTAAACTTGATTTAAATATTATACTTGTTAGGATTCAGAATATATTTTGAATAAATTTAATGCTTCTAATGAAATTACAATAGATTTACTGATATATGAACTTTTGAAATATTTGAAATAAGTTATTATTACTTGTATAGAGTAATTATTACTTGCATATTTTTCTGTGTGAGTGTGTGGGAAAATTATCCCTTTTGGATCTTGCATCATTCATCTGAATTTTTCATCTCCGCATGCTTTGAGATGAGATTCAGCAACGAATCGTTCGAATCGTTAAAAATACATACATGGGCCTTGAATTTTATCGGATGACAATCGATTTAGTAATTTTTAGTTCATTTTTAAATTAAAGTTTTGTTGTTTATATTGTAAAGTTTTTATTAAAAAATTTATTCTAATTTTATAATATTTGAGACTCTTAAAATCAAAACGTTGTTGACATAAAAATTTGTTAAAATTTAGATTTATAATATTTTAGTCGAATATTTATATTTTTTATTTTGAATAAACGCAAATAGAGAATAAACGCAAAAATTATTCATATCTTAATAGAATTTTTATTATTACTAATAATTCATGTTAATATTTAATTAATTTCGTTAATATGATGGCCCCTTCGCGACGCGTTCGTGTTCCGCGCATTATACAAAAGCGTAAAATCTTACGCTTATTGCCGGCTATATTAGTCGGCAGCACAAAAGAGTATTTCTTCTTATTGTATATTTCTGGCGTATAAAGCCAGAATATTGGCCAGCAATGAAAGGTGAGTTCAATCTGGCCAGAAGAAAGAAGAGGATCTGTACGAAGTAGGTTAATGGGTAACCAATTTGCTTTTAAAGGGTATTATGTAAAGATAAACTAAATTCGGGAGGGTAATTTGCTCGCAAATTGCGAGTTTTTATACTTTTTTAAATTATTGTTTATTTAAAATACAAAAATAACCAACAAATAACAGGGCTAATGTGAATCAGTGCCGATAATCAAGCGCAAGTTTTGTATCTTTTAATCTAAAAAATTTGTGTTTGATTATCCGCGCTGATTTTCATTAACCTCATTATTTGTTAATTGTTTTGTATTTTAAAGATTGAAAATCTCTTTTAACTATTATTGTTTATTGCTCATTTATTTAATATGATCGCGATTAGGTTATTCCGTTGAATTTATTGGAACGTGATAAGATATTAGACATTAGCTGTTTAAAAAAGCGACTGTTGTAAAATTCTTTAATATGATTGATTTATAATTTATACATTTAAATCTATAAGAAACCAAAAGCAAGAACCAATCGTATTGAAGAATTTTACAACATTTACAAAGCTGTTTCTCTGCTAAACACAGCGTATTAACGTATTATAGTCGCGATGTTATTACATATTAATGAAGTAATAGGTAGGAATATATGTGTGGTGATAGTATTCGCGAATATGTAGTTACGAATAAATTAAAATACGGGTAGGTAGGATAAGTATGGATAGATAGAGATTATATAGGTAGGGACAATAAGTATGAAATTTATATTGAAACGACAAAAAATTTTGAAATAATTTTTATCGTTTTCGGCATAAATTCCATCTCGCAAACATTAATGCGTGTAATTTATTCCTGGAAAAGGATTTCCGATTCTGTAAAGGAGGAAAAAAAAGTAATTGTTATACAAAAATTACGATTTAGTTGATTTTAGGTATAGATGAGTACATTTAGTCAATTTATGAGAACGATTGATTTGTTTTGTTAATTTATTGAATTATAAATATTTTTTATCAAACAAGGATATATTTTATACATTAGTTAAATCCTCTTAGTACGGTAGAGATACTTATGATTATTTATATGATTTCATATGTATTATATAACGAACGCATGCGGACCCAAGCATCGTCAATCCATTACAACAAATTTAAAAATCACGATGTCAAAGATAGATTGAAAAATAATTTAAGTAACATAAAAGAGAATCATGTTCATTCTGATGTTAATTACATAATAAATTAATTTTCAATCTAACTTTGACATCGTAATTTTTAAAATTTTTAAATTTTGTTGTAATGGATTGACGATGCTTAGATCCGCGATCGTTATTGGAGATAGGCTTAGTTTCACTCAACTAAGCAACTGGTTGGCACAATATTAGACTATGTTGTCTCTCACTACATTTCCACTGTGACTGCATTATTGGAGGTCGGAACTACGATTGTGTGAGATGCAGTTCGACAAATTTTATAGTGCGATAAGCAGATAACTTTTTATTGCTGAGGATGGTTCAAATAGCTGAAACGTATAAAATAAGCTGAAACGTATAAAATTAAATTGTACATATTAATAGATATTGACATATTAATAGATATTAGTTAGTATTGCGCAATATAATACCCTGACTCCTAATGCCCATTTATATTTTGCCGTTATTTTTTTGTTGTAAAAATGTGTCATTCTTGATTATGCATTCGTATAATTAATTTGTGGAAGAATCAATATAGTAAAAAAAACAATACTTATAACACGATGAACTTATTACATCCATGCTGTTTATTAATGTTAAACAAACAAATGATTTATATTACACAGACATTGTGTCATCTATACCTCTTACTGGAAAATGCTCAAAGATAGTTTCGCGTTCTAATGTTCATTACGCGCCAATTAAATTTTTTGTGATTGTGAATCGTCATGTTAACATGCATGCTTTAAAGCATTTAAACATCCGAATGCATAACGCAATTGTTACGCTCTATATCTTCCCGAAAGTTTAGCATATCGGTGGATATTAAGTTTCCATATTAATTTACTTTCTGAACTTTATCAAATTATAACTACATAAAATTATAATTGCAACCATTTTATGTAATTAAAGTTATAATTATATAATGAGTTGTAACTTTATAATTATGTAAAGTCATAATTGATTCTAAATAACAGGGATAAAGTTTAAAAATATTTCAAAATTTGCGTGTGTGTTTCAAGAATCGGAAAATACTGGTTAAATGTATTTTCTTCTGTTATACTTCTCTGCTGTATAAAATTTTCGGATTTTACATTATTAATCGACTGTCATTTTTTTTACAATTTTTTCCATAAAAAAATATACATAAAATCGTATACATAAAATCGTTAGAACCTTCTCATTTTTGTTACGTTTTCTTTTATCGGTTCGAGCTTCAATTGCCAATGTTCTTTTATCATATCAAGAACTCCGTGTTAACACGTGAGGTGCTCGGATATTTAGACGTTACGTAAAGACAGTGAAAAAGAAATACAACGTCAATTGAGCTCTGCGAAAACAAAAGATGCACAATGGCTGTTAGACGCTGACGCCGCTATTAATGCCCTCCTACCTCCTGACCGTTTCTCGGAATTTCTTAATTGCGTCTTGTTACTAACTACGTTTGCACCACGAACGAAAAGGATACGCTGTAAACGCAAATGAGGAAATTATGATGCGCGCAAGTTGCAAGTGTTTAGCCCAGCTGCACTTCTGATATGGGATCTACAATAGAAGTCGTAGTGATCGTAGGGTCTTAGATCATAAAAAATTAATCACAACCAATCACAGTCGAATATGAGGAGAATAATCGACTATGATTGATCAATTTTCTACGACTTAAGACCTTACGACCTCTACAACTTCCATTGTAGATCCCGTATAAGCCAATCTTAGCTGGCTGACTAATTTAATTTTTTCTCTTACATTACATTTTCTTTATCAATCAATCGATTTGCGCCGTTTATAACAAAATTTGTTGAAAGCGTTATATCGTTGTATGTATCTATATATTTGACAGAGTGAGATGCACTTTAAGCAGAGCGTAAGTCATCATGACATCAAAATGATGTTAAAATGACTCTAAACTGAAAAATTACTTTTACATTAAAAATCACTTTTCAATCATTTACTGTTCATTTTAACGTTATTTTTACGATATCGTAATTTGTGTTTGTTCTTGGAGTATCTCACTTTGTCAAGTCCGGAGTCATGTAAGTGTGAAAAACTGAAGGTTTTCTCAAAAGAATTCGTCATTATTCGTCACATGTCAGAAAATGGGAAAGGAATCTTAAATTCGTTTTATTAATTTTAGAATAATACAGAAACAATCTTTTTTGTAATAAGGCTCGGTCCTTTAAAAACTCTCTCTCAAGATTAAAAGAGGATCTTAAATACTTTATTATAGCAAAAATCCTAACAATATATTATAGTTTCTACACTGAAAAAAAAAACGAAAAACGAAAGAGACACGAAGGGAAATTGATAGAATGACATTTTTAAATTATGACATGACATTAGCTTGAAGTAATAAATTACAATTCATCTTGGACACTAAATAATCAGTTTTATGCTTATGTTCAAGACAGTCTTACATAACTGCAGTCATAAATCTGAATACAATACATAAGACGGTCTTAAAATAAGAACTATGAATACTAGCCAAATTTAAGCATCTATTCAAGTAATCATCGAAGAAATCCTCCCTCATAACTATATTCAAATTCTTTCACTCGTGTGCCGCCGAGGTTTTCTCAACCATATCTCTGTTCTTCATCTAATGTTAAACAAGGATAACACTCGGGTGGGAATTTGATAAAATTCTGATATCTACGATCTTCCTTCACGTACCCGTTCGGCGTTCATGTCCGAACGGGCCCCTTGGGGCCCCTCTCGTATCCCTTTGCCCTTCCGTCTCACGCCCACCCCCTCCCGAGAGATCTGCCCCCTTCCGTGCCTTGTTCCTCGTCGGTTCAGTTCCCCCACCAACCGGTGTCCAGTTATGTTGTGGCGAGCAGTGGCGAGCGTCATTGGCTCGAGCGATCAGTTCGTCTCGTCTTTCGCATTGTTTCGCGAATTGCATTCTCAAATTTATGTTTACGACACCGTTGCTTACATGTTTTGCGACAGTTAGTGTGTGTTTAGATTGCATTAGTTCGAATGTATCAACCATCTCAAGCTAACGAAGGGAACGACCGATCATCGGCGGTACGCAGGTAGGCGGGCAAGCAAGTCGCGAAGCGAAGTTAGCGGAGTGAAGGTGGCGGCGGAACCGCGGAACGAGGAACGTCGAACGAGAAGCGGCATCGGCTTGAATTTGGCTGCGGATTTCGCGGGCGGCGTATTACGAGCTCCAGGAGGCTCCTTGAGATTCCGATCGTTTTCGTCCACCACGGAAGAGCCACGGCAGGAGAGAATGCGGCGCGACCGGCCGACAGACGATGGCCGTTAGAACGGTGAGTGTATTCGTATTTGAGTGTATAATGTAACGTCGCGATATGTATGTGCGTGTGCATGCGCGCGAGCCACTGCCATATTGAGACGACGAGAATTCTCGAGGCTGACGGAGTCAGCACGGCGAATCCGGCTGACCATCGGATTTCGGGGACACGACACACGCTGCCCTTCGTCACCCTCCGTCCCCGGTCCCCGCAGGGGACCACCTGTGAAGGCGCGCGATGTTACCTTCCGACAGGTAGAGCATAGCGAGTAGGGGCCATCGGCTTTGCGCGAACGATCGCAGCGACGCAAACGACTCGCACAGGCAAACGCGAGTGCATCGTGCCGGGCCACGGTGGGATTCCTCAATGGGGCGAAAACTCAGGTAGAATGCAAGTCATAACAACATCAAGATAAAGTAGAAGTAGTCATTTAAAAAAAAATCATACTGATAATTTAAAAATTATTTTAGACTTTTTAAGTCTCAAAGTCATTTAAGAATAATTTTTTATTAAAAAATACTTAAATCATTTTTATATCAAGAATTTATCTCACAAAATTATCGAATGAAAACAATTAAAATTTTTATTGATAATAAAGATTTTCCTAAAATGACTTACTTGTTATCTTAATTTTATTATGATTTTGTATTCTATCCGAAAAGTTCATTTGTCTTTAAAATCATGACAAGTGTGTATTTAATTTTATATGTTATGTTATTCCCAAAAAACTTTCCCCTTCTCTCTATTTATTTATTATCTAAAACTCAATTTAAATTGATTCTTTTTTTCATTCAAGTTATATCTAAGCGATTGAAGATAAAAAACGTCTCATAAAATATCTTAATATAGAAAGAAATATTTGTTTATGAGAAATATTATGATTTATTTACATAATTTTAAATGCGGCATAAATATACAATAATTATTTTAGTACAATAGAAATAATTATTGTTTTTTTTATTAATTAATTAGCTTTTTGAGTGATTAATTCAGGAAAATAAATTTTTATCACTGTTGCTGATTTATTCTTACACGTTTAGCATCTCATTTTAATGTTAAAGTAATTCATGTCACACTTGCGCAAAATACTCGACGATCTTTGACTTCAATTCTTTCATTAATCAATTCTTTCCTTGAATTTTATTATTCTTATTATAACAGAGCTGTCAGATTTCGTTAGCATAAATATATTATCCAAGAATGTGCTAGAAGAAACAAATAAGCATATTGTTGCATGAATATTATTACGGAATCGACTTTCCCTTTCTACTGAGATCTTTTTCCTCCTTACACTGAAAAAAATGGTGTTGTGTCAACAGCATTATTTTAGTCGAATATAACTTTGTTAATTCAATAACACCATTAATAAAACAAATACGTCATGCTCTTATTTTAATAAAGTTTTATTTGTTTTATTAATATTGTTTTTTTTTAATCAAGAGATTATTTTCAATCAAAATAATGTTGAAACAACATTTTTTTTAGTGTAACCATCGACATATATATTCATTCATGATTTCACATTCACATAGTATATATTTCAATAATTCCGATTGAAATGTGATATAGTAATGCAGAATAAATTATTGAAGTTTTTCAATAGCTGCGTTTCAGTAGAAAAAGCAGTTTTGCAAATGTTGATTCTTTAATATTGGTTTTTGCCCTTAGTTTTTCGTTGAGTCTAAATGCAGGTATAAACTAGTTATTAAAGAATATTCTAATAGTTGCAAAGCTGCTTTTTCTGCTAAATGCAGCCATTAATTCATTCCTCGGTTTTAATAATTATTCAAGTGAAATCGTAAAAAACAAAATGTCGAAGTGATCCTTTCAACACTTGCGTCAATTCGTGCGGGAAACTTACGTCGCGGTCTTGCCATTGATTTCTTCGTCTTGCCGATTAACGATACTTAACAAAGTTTCAAGAGACGGGCGCGGCGAATTTGACTTTCACTCCGAGTTTCTGCACTGCTTTCACCTACCTAAAGCCTGCACTTTAATCAGAAACATTTCGGAACAAGTGTCCAATCCACGATATTCGCACGTTAATCATTTTTCCTCGTTGTCGTTGCGTGATAAAGTGATCGCTGGCGATAAAAAACGTAACAAGAGACACACTTCTCAACTCAAGAAATATATAAAAATCAATAAAAAAATCAAAATGACTTTATTTTGATTCTTGACATCAATAAACGATCAAATTGTATAACCAAAAATCATTATTTTGACTTTCATGACATCAAAATAAAGTCATTTTAACTTTCTCTTGACTTGACGTGTTCCTTGGGAAGCAAAAATCATCATGATATTATGATAAAATGACGTCAAAATAATTCCAAAATGGTAATTAGTCATTTTCTGATCAGTCACGATTTATTTTAAGGATGTTTAGTTAGTCATTTCCGAAATATTAGAAAGTTAACACAAATTTTATAGACTGTTCTATTATTACGGCCGAGTATGTAAAATTTTTAGCAAAATTCTCTTATTGGTTTAAAAGTTATTTAATTTTTTGTTTGTCTGTGACTTATGTAAAATCGCGTTTTGTAACACTTATTTAATGAGTAAGTAATATTAAAATCAAAGTTTATACACATATAATAAAATATTAATAAATATTTGTGTAAATTTATTTGGATTACTTACTCGTTCGAAAGTTATTGATCTAAAACGCAGCAGAAAAATATGGTTTTTTTGCTGCGTAACAATTATAAGCCAAATTATTCGTTGCTTTGTTTTTGCAATTGGTTTCAAGATGTGTTCACAGACTAATATCATCGAAATTTTTTTATTGGTTGATATTAGCTATTTTTGGTCGATTGTTTTAACGGATACTTTTAGCTGATATTGTATAGACAAAACATCCTTAACGTCATTTTGACGTTAACGTAACTTGTTGTTCTACTTGGATTGACGCACATACGAAGCGTTGTGCTACAGCTGCACAGATGTTTGCGGAGGAGACTTTGTTGTCATATCTGTTTTCTTGGTACACACGTTTTCTTGCTTAAATTTGATTCGATGGACTCGCGTTTAATTTCTTATCGTTACGTTGAGTCAGACTATGTCTCGGTAGGTTGATTGTGAACTTAGAATCAGAGGACCTCCCATACGACGATAATGCCCTTCAACAGAAGACGTGCTTTCCTTTCCCTTCCTCCCATCTTCCTTTATTCAGCTCGTCTTATCGCCTACAATAATCTATTTCCATATCCAATCCGCAGTACGTAACGGCAACAAGTGCCATAAATCGTGGATGCTATATGTCTCGCGAGTCCAGACTTACTTTGCTTGCAGTAATAATTGCAATGCATTTCACGCGTACGCATTTCAAGATTTGTACGCGTGCGAATCTAATTGAATTTTCTTTATGAATAATTTACGACATCCGATTTCTCACTGAGAGTTGATGATTGAAACTTCCTGTACCAATTCGAATCGGATGTCAGATAATTTCCTTTAACTTCTAAAATTTTTGGACTGCAATCTATGCGATTGGTACCATGTGAATCAACTAAACTTGATTCCAAATTATAGGCAAAGAATCTTTGAATTTTCCTCTACTTAAGGAACACAAAAAAATAATCAAAATGACTTTTGATTCTAAACAAATCAAATTTTGTAACAAAAGAATCATCATTTCAATTTTCATGACGTCAGAATAAAGTTATTTTGATTTTCTTTTAACTTAGTGTGTTTCTTGTATATCATAAGGTGGAGATTCACCTGCATTTTGTACTCCAAATAGAATGCTTTAGAACTTAGGTGTAGTTTTCGTAGCTATTATATTGAAGGTCATAGCACGGATCATTGAATTATTACTATAATCCTTGTGATAGTTTTTTTTTTTAAGACTGAATGACTTTCAACTGAACGTGAATGGGATTTCTGTGCGCAGGAAACGTGTAAGGACGATCGCTCGAATACCGATCGTGAATCGCAGAACTAGTTAAGGATGTTATCTCGCGCGAGTTGCCCCGATATATTACTTATATCGCGCCTGATGAATCTTTCATCATAACCACTATCCTTCCTGATCGTTAGGAGTTAAATTCAACCGCCGAAGAGAGCAGCGTCGACGCATAATCAGTCACCGGCGGTCGATTTGAAATTGAAATTCGTTCGTAGGAAAATATGAGTTTATATCTCTGTGGGATTATATCAGTATCGATGATACCTCATGGTCGTGAGCAATCACGTTCCTATTACGCAGGATCGCACTTTTTCACGCGAGACAGAAATGGCGTGTGTATAATCTTCGGAATCCTTTTTCTAATCTCACAGGAACTACTAATTCGCACAGTTATTTGGTTGGCGAAGCACAACTCATGGCAAGCACAACACAACACGCTGCAAATACATTTACGTATACACTCTCTCTTTTTATAAAGATACAATGAAAATAAAATTTGTTGAATTAACCAAATCTGCAAACAACTAAATTTTAGCTAGCTGAACAGAACTATTATAAATTTTAGTTAGTTATTTAGTTAGTTGAACAAATTTTTTTTTTCAATGTACCTACCTTATTAGCATCAAAAATTATTAAATTGCTTGTTAATTTAATACAAGTCATATTACTACTCTGGTTTTGCTCATAATTGCGTTTCAAGATCTTAAAAGATTCCGGAGCGTGAATGAAGTGCGTGTAGGTATATTTACGCAGAAATGTTTAAGTATTAATCCGCTTTAACCGAATATTGGATTTCTCTTATTTAATTAGATTTATTCTCATCAGTCCAAATTCGTTTCATAATTGTTTTCTATTTAAGATAAAATATTTCTCTGTGAACAATAAATATGATTATTTCGTTATTTCGAGCCTTATACTCATATATGATTGCTAAAGAAAAAAAGTGTAACAGCATATCCGGAAATCTTGTTTGTGGGTAATCTCATGATACTATACGAATATTTGAAAAAAGTTGGAGCAAGATACAATTTAGTTTAAGAATAATAAGAAATAATGAGTGTAAGAAATATAAGAATAAAAGAACAATAAAAATCAGAATAATAAA